GTGTGTTCAGAATAGAGGTTAAATCCGAGATCTTTGCGAATAGTGACCGAACGATGATGCTGATCAATGATGGCACAGTCATCTTGGTAGGAGGTGTGCGAATAAGTGCAGTCTGCCATCTGACCCGTCTGCGTTTTTTGATCCAAGCAAATAAACAGTGGGTGGTACAGAATACACAGTTTTTAGTCGTAGCCTGTCCTGACGAGAATATTTGTAGATCCTGGTCATGATTGGCTATATGGATGAGATAAACGATAAATTCCAACGTGACGTACAAGCACGAGAATGTAGCGCGGCCAATCGAAGCGCGCGCGCGCGACTATCATTACTACTAACGGTGACTCTATTTTCCAGTGTTCACCAGAATGATAACACACGATCTGTATGGAGTCCATTTGGCTTCTGTAATTACGAGCACTGGTCTGTTTGGACTGTTTGATAGATTTTTTGCATTGTGTGACCAAATACATTCGTGTTTGATACAAAGTTATCCAATTATTATCGAATGTACAGTTCTTGTCCTGGGACCCTGTACACCACAATCTTTTGCCGATCAATCGGTCATTTTGTCACATTTTCGTTGTGTCCCGAACCTGATTGACAGCATACACATCGGTTTTTTTTTGTTTTTTTTTCACGAGTTTCTATCTTCTCATGTGTTTGTGTGCGCACGTTTTTTTTTGTTCCCTCGGAAACAACACTCACTTGTCCGATCCCATCCTATCCCGTTCCATCCATCCATCGATCCATCCTACTCAGTCTTATCGACCGTGGCTATTTTGGATCAATATATTGGACGCTATCTGGCAAGCGTTGATTATTTTTTTCATTCCGTATCTGTACTACGCGGACAGTTCCATGACTTTGTGGCCTTACGGTGTCCTACAGACAAATATCCTGATCATATGCAGTCTGTTACACGCGGCATTGGAGACACGAACATGGGTAAGTTCGGCAATCGGTTTCGAGGATGATCGTGACGGTCGTGGTGACGCATTGGTTTAGTCACTGTCACCGGTATGCTTCGGGTCTGCGGTTCGAATCCGATCGCCATCGTCACCCAAATTGGGTGACAGCTTTGCTGTTTGCTGGTACTATACCACACCTAATCTAGCGCTTGGGGGTACTTATGTGGTTCGCCATTCCAAATAATTCAGGACATAGGTTACCGGTTTCCATCCTCCTTGAACAACAGGTCCTCGTGACCATGGGGTCCACCGATCCCCACTCTCATCTGCTGTTTATCACACTAGGGCGGATCCGCTGTGCAGTGTGATACATAACGTGCTGCAATCAATGCATGATTCAATCAGAGAACGGACAGAAGGAGACAGAGTTAAGGGGAACAGATTTGTTACAAAACCTTGACAACTCATAAAAATTTACCGCGATCGTTTGACATCCTACTTCTATGAAGATGGCACTTCCGAATTGAATTTGACCGCTCCGTACAGGACGGAGTATCAGATCTGAAACTGAACAGCTCTGCATTCTTTTCAGTCGGGTAACTTGTTACGGGAGTGTAGTGCAGTGGGGGCGCGAGGGAGGGATAGAGCGAAATGGTCTCACTGTACGATTGTTTTCGTTTCTGTTCGGATGGCACAAGTCACATACCACTGGGCTTATACATCTGTCAAGGCTTTGATATTAGTTAGACTTTCTACACAAATCTCACCATCCCAGTTCCCATTTCACCAATCGATCACACACACACACACACACATGTGTGTGTTTGACCTTCATCGATTGCCCGAACTAACAAAACAAAACAACAAAACGCATTTTCTTTATTCACCGACTCAGTTCTCACATCAAGCATTTTTTTTTGTTCGTAACTTCAGTCGAATCGCGGGTGGATTTGTGGACTGGATGACACTACTGTCTGGTCACATATATTTCTATTTGTATTTGTATAGACTTTTGCGAGAATAGAATGTTCGCATTTCAGTCAAAAATTTACACATCTCATCAATAGAAGGAAAGATACAAGTAAAATATTTAGCGTTTAAGGTTACGGAGAAATTTTGAGGAAGCGCGCTCTCGGTTTACAAAGATTCTGGCAAGATAGGGAACTGGGGAATTTCTGTTGAGACTAATGCGAGAGGGTACTAATCGATAAGAAGAACATGTAGACATATGAGAGCAGCATTTAGATAAATCGCCATGTAAAGGATGGTTGGGGTCAGCGAGGAGTTTCTGGGCAAATGTTTCACATGCGGACAAGTGAAGTTCACACAGTTTTTTAGATAGCTCATTAACGGATATAAGACACACGACTGATGATCGACAAACCTCGACGAAGAATTTTGAAGTCTTTATTTAGTGGACCAGCAAAAACCACCGGGGAACAATAAAGAAGAACGGGGAAAACACATTGATAAACAAAAAGTGGAATGAATTTTTTGCTTGGTATTGAACTGCCTAAGTCTTCGAAGTTGAAAAGATAATTTGCGAAGTTTCTGTACAGAGTTGTAAATATGGGATGTCCACTTTAAATCAGTGTCAATTGTAACTCCCAGATACTTCATAGAATCAACTCTAGTTAGGGAATCTGCATTTATGACAGACGGATCACAAGGATAAACAGATCGAGAAAGGGAGAAAGTGCATTCGAAGCACTTGGATAAATTAAGAGACAGTCCAGAACGAACGAAAAATTCATGAATATGCAACAGATTATTCGAGAAATGTAAACGGTCCTCAGACACAGAAATGGCTTGGCAGAAGGCTACGTCATCGGCATATTTAAATAACTGGGCTGGACAACTCGCAGACAGATCATTGATGTAGATGGAAAACAAGAACGGAGACAATACGGCACCCTGTAGTACTCCCGAATTGTTCATATGCTCATGGTGATTTGTTTAAATTTATTTTAAATCGAAAAACATTTTCTGGCCCCCAAACGCGTATAAGCTGTACGTTCGTTGGAATTCGTTATCCGGAGAGGATAGAAGAGTAGCCACTTAGGTGGTTCTCCCGAGTTCACCACGGAAAGTGGTGTTCGACAGGGTTGCCCTCTCTCTTCGTTTCTATTTAACTTCGTGATAGATTCAATTCTTGAAACAGCCCCATCCTCGTGCGGGGACAGCGGCATCGATTTACTCCCAGGTGGCAAACTGTCTGATCTAGAATATGCAGACGACATTGACTACTAAGTGAAGATGCAGGTAATTTGCAAGCTTTTCTGGATAAGTTGAATGCCTGTGTAGCCATGTTCGATATGCATTTTGACCCAGTCCCCAACCTCACCCTGACCGGGGAAGTTGTAGAGTAAGTGGACAAATTTTGCTGTCTGAGCAGCTATATCTCACCCGGTGGACACATCACGGATGAAGTGTCCGCTCGCATACAGAGGGCCAACTTGAGACATCTATGGCGCTGTCTCGACATCCGGTTTTTTGTGAAGGGTCGAGTGTATGGTGCGGAAGTTCGACCAGTCTTGGTCTCTCCGGTGCAGAGAGTTCGACATTAAGGGAAAAAGGATCAAAATAGATTCTCGGCGTTTGAACACCGCTGTCTACGCAGCATTGCACGAATCTGGTGGGGCAGCCGGACGTGCAATGCTGAGTTTAGGTGTAGAGTTTTAGATAATTGCGGTCATCCACTGGAGCAAGTGGTCGACCTCCATAGATTATGTTGTTTGGGGCATGTGTTACGCATGTCATTGAATAGGTTACCACAGCGTGCGATGTTTGCCGAGGAAGGTAGCGGATGGAAAAAGGTCAAGGGTGCTCACACGAAGACCTGGCATGAGAGTATGAAAACTCTGACCAGGAGACTGGGTCACATAGGTCCCGTTAGGCTGGGGACCATGATATCATGGTCCTACTCGATGGTTAACTACACTGAGCGATATGGCTGGGTGTCACTCATTCATCTTCTGCTTGAATTGGCTTTCAACACTTCAATCTTCCTCCTTCACCAACCAAAACCGGCGCACGAAAGTACATGGTTAATGATTGTAAAAACTGAACTGAACTGGTTCACCTCGAATAGGTCGGTATGAATTACCTCGCCGATCAGGGAAGATTCTCGTTGATGTGGTTGAATTTTCACCCTATGGGCGGGCCTTGGCTGTGCATGGACTAGATTTGTATCCTTGAAGAAAATGACCGAGCAGTGTTGGAAATACCTCTCGTTCTATTATTTTACTTCGTTTTTATGAAATGTACACATAATGCAAGATAATTCTCAAGACGAGGGAAGTGGTCAATCAAAGGGCTGCCATGCGTAGAAATGGGGCCAGCTAGTCGGCGGCGACGACGACGGACGGATTCAAACGCACACGTTTGCATTTCCGAATCTCTTCGAATAGTATTTTTTGACGGTGGTCCTCTTTCCGAAATTTTACTGTACATTTACATTACTACTCTCTCTCATAAGTGTGTTGAATTGGGGGTTCCAACCTCATTGGCTCATTTTTTGTCACAGACTGTTTATTGTTGCTTATGTGACTAGGGTCTTTTGGTTATGTTCGGCCAATACGCTCGATCGAACCGAACGCCCCTTGCTTAGGCCGTGACAGCAGCACGAAAGAGGGAACACGGCTGAACGAGCAGTCTGCGTATCCTATCAATATCCTGTGGGCTTACGAGAACGACGTGTTGACGCACCAATCAGATCACGTCCTTGACACTCCGATTGGTTGATCGGACAACAGCTGTCTGATGCGTTCTGCAGTCTACTAAACCGGACTCGACTTATTGTGGGCGTCACGTGATACGGATCTGTGCGCGCGGCCTAACCGGTTCTGTGAGCTCCGTTTTAACACTTGATGGTTCGACACTGCAAGTTCGAGACCGTTTGTTCCTGGTTCTTTTCATCAGACTCTAAGGTTTTGCAGTCATAATGTGTACCGATTTCACAGTCCACCACGTTAGACCATGTGATAAAAAACGAATTAGAATTATATTGTGCCACTTTTTCACCAATGCTACTACTACTGTGCATCACTTTCTTAATTTATTTTCTTCTCAATCTCTCTTGCTGTGTTACAGATTGTGTTCCACTTGGTCGGTTTAATTGCAAGCTATCTAGTTCTGTGGGTGTTTTTCACCATGATCTATCACTCGGTGGCCGTGGTCGGCATCTCACCGGAATCCCCATATCGTGTCATTTTCATGGCCATGAATGACGGACCGTTTTGGTTGCTCACCTTGGTCACCACAGTGACCGCTCTGTTACCAAGGCAAGTGAATACACCATATGCACCCACCCATTCACACGCACTTGATCGATCGATGATACTCCTTCTCTCCCCTCTCTCTCACTCGATTTTTTCCCCACGTCAGTTCTTTTGGTGATCGAACGGTACTCCCACCCCCTAACGTCAATCTTGTTTGGTCAATTTAAAAAAAATAATTTGTGTACATATTTTCTACGATCATGAACAGAAGTGAGAATTTTACAACAGAACAAGCAAGTCTGGCCTATTTGAGGCTATCGATCGTGTGGCCCAAAATTCACCCACTTTTTTGTAGACTGATCGATAAATTTCGTCACCTGCATAGAAACTCAACCAGTTTTTTAAAGTTCATTGTTGTAGTTCGCTTACCACTTCGCGTTCTGTTCTACAACTGTCATCGGACTACACAACACATATTGCACTCTCATTCCTCATCCCATTTCTAAATATTTCATGAAAAATCAATAAACAGGTGAGCTGTTGTCAGTCGGGAGCGATCGAATCCAAGACGTCCGAGAGGAGATAATAAAAGTCGACCAATAGGTGTGATGAGGGAAATGACTTGAACCGTAGTAACGGTCTTGGATCGCCTTTGACCCCTATTTTTATTTTTAGGATTACTGGCCTCGTTCTCGGAAAGTAATTATCATCCGGTTTCCTTTACATGTTTACTACTCCATTGGTGGTGGTGGTGATGGTCGAACAGTTTAGGTCGTTTTCACTCGTGTGCTCCAGGTCCTTCCTAATCTATGAGATTGGAACCGCTTTGCTTCCGGGCGGCTTCACACTCTTCTAGTGCAATACCACTCCTATCCTAGCAAAACCTGATGTGGTTCACGGTTTACACCTCCGAAATTCTGAGTATGGTCTGAGTGGATGTGTCGGGTTGCTGCTGGTCACCCCCACCCCTGTTGCACCTCGTGAAATGCTCCCATACGGTCAAGCGTCTCACATAACTTCCGCTGAGAAAGTCCTGCTCGCTACCTTCTCGTGGCTGAGGTGTTTCACCATCAAATATTGATTCGGGGCTATAACCAGGTCGGGAAACCACTGGCAGTTCACCTAGGTCAGTTAGCTAAAACCCTTGATTCCAGACCAGCCAAGAAGAAGCTTGCGATCTACACACACAC